TTTCACCATGTTGGCCAGGATGGTCTCAATCTCCTGACCTCATGATCCACCTGCCTCGGCCTCCCAAAGTGCTGGGATTACAAGCGTGAGCCACCCCACCCGGCCAGATCTTTTTCTTAAAGAGGGACAGACTGAAGGTAGGCTGTGAATGGTCAGTTATTTGTATTTCTTTACCTTTTATGCTATTTTGTAGTTTGACCAGTTTGCAAATCAAATTGAATAAAAAGTAATTGATAATGTCGTTTTGATGCTCAGTGTTTGAGGGAAACACAATCTAGTGAATGGGGTTATTGGTTGTCACTTGTCACACCTGGGAAAGTAAAAATAAAATGAGGGGACTCAGCCCAGGTGAGGTCACCTGGCGCCACTCAGCACCAACCTAGAGAAAGCAGCCTTGGAATGCTGGCCTCGGTGGCAACTGAGAAGTGGTGGTCGGTTGCTCGAGGCAGGGTGAAGCACAGAGCCCTGGAAGGAAGCAGGAAGTCAGGTTCAAGAAAGGACTGGTGACCTTGCCTTTGGCTTCAGGGTTTTATTTTTCTTTAAGACATTTTGAGACAATGTGTAGACATGTGAACTTACAGGACAAATAACTCTTTTACCTTGAATCATTTGAGACTAAGTCCCATCACCAGACATTCCTACAAATGAGGACCTTCACACGACTAAGATGCCACCATCAGAACCACAATGTGTGGGGATGGTACTGCCAGCTAAGCCTCAATGCTGTTTCAGTGTTGACCGCTGTCACAATGATGCCCTTTTCAGTAGAGGAGCCTGTGATGGTCACGTGTTACATTTGATCATTGTGCCATTTGGTTTACTTCTGTCTGGAAAGTTTCTCCTTTCTGTAACCTCCATGACCTTGACACATGAGGTCACTGTTCTCACCCACCTCACCTCTGGGAGGGGTGCCTGCTTTGCTCTGCCCCACCCAGCGGCTTTAGGGCTCAGCTGTTCAGGAACAATTAGGGAGAGGCCCCTTGGGTCTAACTGCAAAATCATACTTGAACTAGAAAACCTTGGCGTAGGCATGGGTTGTCATATAGCAACATTTTCCAAAGTGTGCCCCATGGAACACTTGTTCTGTATGTTGTTAACAGATGTTTTGCAAAAAATGGAAAGGACTTGAGCTCTAAGTTTGGGAAATGCTGAGTTAAAGTGAAACAGCTTTGCCTGGTATGAGACCTCTCAGAGTCTTTAAAGGACAGTTGCTGAATGAAATCACAATAGAAAATGGCCAGCAGGCCTCCAGCTATGCAGCAAGTCCTGGACATTTGCCTGTGTTGCCTGGGGTAGCTGGTGGCCTGGGGCAGCTGCTGCCATCATTTCCCCGTCTGAAGAGGTACACCCAACTGCTGTTAGGATAGGGACGATAACCTCTCTTAACTGCTTCATGCGGACAAGGGGCGTTGTTTTGGGAAAACAACAGTCAAGTCTCTCTCAGAGACCTATCTAAGAATACCCAGTACAAGGGAGCCATCATCTGAGGTTCCATTTTCATGACCATTTGGAGTTTGATGGCCCATCCCTTGTTTCTTCTGAGCTGTATTCAGAGATCACTAGTTGGTTCACCTTCACAATTGTCAAAAGCTACAAATAGCTTGAAAGAAAAGCTTCCTTGATTCTGAAAAACAAGATAAAGGGTCAACAATATTCCAAGCAAAAAGTCAAAACAAGATTGCTTCAGTCTTCTGTTAGTTCAGCTCACCCAGTAAACTCCTATTCACAATCTCCAAAATTATCAGAACTCTGCATTTGAAGACTACAATCCATCCCTTGAAGAGGATCAAAACATGACAACAATTGTCTGTGAATGTCAAAATGTCCTAGGGTATTCATAGTCAAAAGCACAATTGATGAAGAAATTTGGTCACCTCTGTGATTTACAATAACCTAATAACCCTAGCTGTGATTGATAACACAAACTCAGGCATCAGAAATCTAGAAATCCCATACAATTTTGAAACACACATTAACATTTTTCACTAAGATATAACCTGAAGATCAAACACCTTATTTTGATAATCTTATGTAACTAAACGTGTCAAATAACTCTGTTTACCTCTCCCTTTGGATGCTCCAGGGGTCTTCTGTAGCATCCGAAACTCAGGGGTTAGGGAAGAC